TATGGGTGAGCCACTCTTCGGCACATCTTCACAAGTCCATTGTCACCACAATGGACGACAAGCTTCAAGCATGATCTCATCGTGATGCTCCACTTGAACTTGTGCACCGCAACCTAGATGACGACCACCACTTGATGTCATCCTCCATGGGTTGTATGAGATCTTCCTCTTGACGCAAGCCCATGGAAACATACCTAACCCCACATAGAACTTTCGCGTAGACCATGGGTTAGTACAAAAAGTGTAATGGAAAAATGCTTACCGTACCATGGGATCACTTGATCCCTCTCTCGGTACATCTTGTACGCTTTGTGTGTTTATCAAATTGATTCACTCTTTGACTTAGTCTTGATCAACCTTATATCTTGTCTTTTCTATGACCAATCTTTGGATAACTCCTTGAACAGCACCTTGGTCAACACATAAACTCACTGAAACCAACACATGGACTTCAAGAAATGCCTATGGACAAATCCTTCAAATATAACTCAAGGCAACCATTAGTCCATAGAGAATGTCATCAATTACCAAAACCACACATGGGAGCACCACATGTTATTTCAAGGAACCCTAGTGGATCACCTTGTGTGTTATTTGTATCATTCACTCTTGTTTGCCATCACCTCCTTTGTGATGTTAGTTGTCTCCATGTGTGAGTAGACCCCTAGTTCTCGGGGATATGGATGAACCTGGGTATGTATAGGATTTGAGTCGTTATTTTGGATATGAGATCCTTTGTTGAATGCTTAGTTTAATAGCTTCGCGAACGTTGTGTAGGGACCCCACTCAACATTATTACCTTATGGCCACGAAGTATATCACTTTCGTTGTAAAGGGGGCAGAATGTGAAGGTAATTCGAGGTGACAGTAAAAGCCTTTACTCCTAACCTTTGCAATTGATAGGGCAATTATGGAGAACCCTTAGAGACGTTACATCCATGGGGTAAACCTTATTATCATAGTTGTAACGCGCGCAGGGAGACTATGGTGGTGGCGTGCGTGGCACGAAGTCTAATTCGAGTAGAACGTATTCTATACCCGGCTTCGCCCAACACAATCGTCAAGAGTAGCTGAAGTATCCATACCATATTATTCCCAAGCATAGGTCGCGCTAGAAACATACCAATGGAGATTCCGGACTCCCTGAGAATGCCTTACTCTTCTGCTAGTTCGTCAGTTACTCAAATTACTGCTTTTCTTATTACTTTTATGTTATTTACTTAAAGCTTGTTTCGCACCACAATCATAATTTATTTCCGCCCTCACTTTATTTGCCCTCTACAATTAGTTGCAGGCACAAATTCATAATTCACTACAAGAGGCAAAGTCTGATTCTTGTGCTCCTTGTGGGATCGATACACTTACTTAAAAAATGCTACAACTAAACCCTGTGCACTTGCAGACCATCAGTCATAGACCCAATAACAGTGTAAAAACCTCCATTATGGCAGCATTAAGAGCATGATGTTTAGATTACATCATTGCAGCTACAAAGCCTCCCTTAGAGTCACGTAAGATTGCACCACCTTAACCTGAGTCCGCATGGTAAGAAGCATCAACATTAATGTAAGCTTCTTTTCTACTACCAGTTTACCCAAATGCCTCTGATTTGTAAAGTCGGTCATGCCGTCATACCAATATTTTCATCTTGAGTTACGTGATGCCGTTCCCACCAAATATTCCAACACGCAACCATTGCCAGCTCCATTGCATTTTCACCTGGGAATGGAACACCACCTAGTAGGTTCGAACATATAGTCTCATCAAGTATTAAAGAACCCGATCTGTATTCTGCTGCCACACTCGCCTCAAGACCAAGTTCCTTCCAAAACTCATTTACTCTCTCACAAATGAGCAACATATGTTTGAGGTCTTCGGGATCCACCTTGCACACTAGGAAGTCACCGGAGTCTTAATATGCTTGTTCGCCAAGGTACAATAACATGGAATAATTCTGTGTAGAGCTCTCCAAATAAAAATATGCACCTTGGGAGGAATTCTCAAGTCCCAGAGTAACTTCCATACTGCCATATGTGTAACAACACCTGCCCTAGTTCGGTACTCCGCTTTCCATTCTGCATGGTATGCTGATCGAATAGTAAAACTCGGAGACTTACATAGTTGCCAAGCTATGAAATCCGGTTGATCTTGAGAAGAAGCGGAATTTGTAAGATCCTGTTAGCATCAATATGCCAAAAATTATCATGTATCAGCCGCACAGCCCACTCGCCTGTTTGAGGGTCAATAAGATCCTGCACAGTCTCAAGAAGATAATGCCCACGTGGAGTCAAAACACGCCTATCATGAGTAGTTGTAATCCAAACATCTGACCAAATTTTAATGTTTGCCCCACTACCTGGTCTCCAAACTGCACCCTCCTCAAAGTCTTTAATCCTGACATGATACCGCGCCATGTAAACGAGACACCTTTTTATAGCTCTGCTTTAAAAAGGTCTCCATCCGTGTATTATTTTGTTTGAAGTACCTGGGCACATAATGAGTGAGGTTCATATATAAGTATCCAACATTGCTTAGCCAACATCGCTTGACTAAAACAATGTAATCACGGAATCCCATTCCTCCCTCCGTTTCTAGGATACACATCTTCCACTAAGCTTTCCAATGCAATTTTCTTTGATTATGCGAGGCACCCCACCAGTACCTAGTAATAGCATCACAAATACTCTTGCATATATTCTTTGGCAAACTGAAAATGGACATTGCATGTATCATGATAGATTATGCAACAAATTTTAACAATACTTCTTTCCCTCCCACTGATAGCATCCTCGCATTCCACCCACCAATAAGAGCCCAAACTCTATCAAGCAGATGTTGAAAACAATCACTGCGGTCCACCCCCACATCCGAGGGCAATCCAAGATACTTATCTATCATTGCCTCAACCACAAATTTAAGTTCTTTTCACCTTGGAAGTGATCGAGATTATGAAACATGGTGGGGGATGGCAATGGGTAGGGTATGGGCGGGTACAACCTCCTTCTGCCCAAACCCATACCCACAGAAACCTTCTATACCCACCCACTTCAATACCCATGGGCATAAATGGATACCCATGCCCATACCCATCGGGTATCCAATACCCATTGGGTATCCAATGGGTACAATCTATAGCATTTAATTTTGTTGAAAGTAGAGAAATGCTTCTAAAACTCATGGGCGAGTTGTATAACATTGACGTGGCCTCCTTCGATGGGTGGCCTCTTGGAGGAATCAATCGAGTATGAGCAACGGTTGGTGGAAATCCAATGCAGTGGGAGGCGGTGGTGGGAATCGGGAATCGCTGGATCGAGATATGCACAAGAGTTCAGTGACAATAAGCGAAGATTTCATCGGTTTGAGGAGACATATAGGACGCAGGAGGAGTGGCGAGCAAGTCCCCGTGGGCCTATGAGCTATGGCCGGTTTAGGGAATACGAGATTTATGGTTGGGCTATAGGAGTTGGATGTTTACTCCTCATGGCATATGAGTTATTCTCATTTATTAAATTTTTGTGGGTATCCATTGGGTTACCCATGGCGTAATTTCATACCCATGCTATACCTATATATTTTGCGGATATGGATACCAATTACCCATGGATACAAAACTTTTCCAAGTCTTGCCCATGCCCATTGTTTTCGGGTAGGGTACCCACGGGTACCCATACCCATGGGCAAAACTGCCATCCCAAGCCATTCTCTTGGACATGCGGCCGATTTATGATGATTGTTTCTTTCTTTGTCATGAGTTTAGTCATGTTTCGTTCGAGTTTTGTCTTAGGGAAGCCAATATGGCGGCACATGTTTTAGCTAGTAAGTCGGAGCGTAGCCCTCTTGTGTGGCAAAAGGATCCTCAATTTTTTTTTGTCTGTCTTGTCAAACCATGTAAGTGTTTCGCCTAATAAATAAAACCGCCATGAAGGCTTCCCCAGAGAAGATGCCAGTACAAGTTTTTTTTGTTCGTATTCTTTAGGGGAGGTTTTTTTTAGGGCTAGGGGAGTTTTTCTTCTTCGATCGAAACGGCAGCACCACCACCGGGCCAGGAAATGGAAATCCTATCCTGCAGCAGCCCAGCCCAACATCGCCAAGATTTGGATGCGCCACCCAAATATCTCGACCCCCCTTGCCCACTTTTTTTCCGTGCGCCTGCCCTCCCATATCTCCCCTCCCCGGATCCACCCATCCCGTTCGCCAGCTCCGCCCTCGCTTCTTCCCGGTGCGCCACCGTCAGGTACCTTCCTCCGCAGTTCTATAGAACTTTCTCGACGCTTCCGTCCATTCCCATTCCTTCAATTCGCGTCCCTAGCTCTACCAGCAGCGCGGGGTTGCAGCCTTGCGCCCGGATTTCATTCCCCCGCGGCTGCTTGCTCTAGATCTCTTCCTTAGGCGCTTTTCTGTAGATCTGCGGGGTTTTTCGGCGTAGGTACGTGGTCATGGGGGCTGTAGTACCTGCTCTGCCATCGATGTGTCAACTGTGGAGTGTTTCATGGTTGCCGAACGCTTCCGATTTTAGGCGCGTAGGAAATAGGGAATTGCTCGTCTGGTTAGAGGCAAGGTCGGTTGTATTTTAGGTTTTCATAGTAACCTTTTGCACTATTTTGCTCCCAGTGAGTGGCTGTGCCCTCTGTTTGTTGGAGAATTTTTGTCATCGCGCTTCTATACTTAGAAATCACTGTTCTAGTTTGGTTGCACTGCGTTAGTTGCTTCTTAAGGTAGTCAATTATTGTTTAATCGGAGGGGAATTAACGTTTACTAGTAACTTGGATGTGAATGTTCTAGATTGTGAGGGAATGGATGGATTTTGCATGATCTTGCTCTAGGCAATGACTAGTCTTCTGCAATTATCATTACACCTTTCAGATGTTGTTGTCCAGATAAAAGATTTATACCAAAATAACTATGGATGTAATTTATTCGTGATTTTGATCAATAAAAATGTTCTTGTTACAGGGTATACCTCACATGTTCTAGGTCGTTGGTGAGAGTTTGTGCTTCAGATGGCTGGGGCGCTGCATAGTTCTCGTTGTCCGGCTCTGTTATTGTTGGCTGTGCTGTTGCTGACTTTGTCTCCAGGCAATGCATTCTACTTGCCTGGCAGCTACATGCACACATACTCCCAAGGTGAGGATATATGGGCAAAGGTTAATTCACTCACGTCCATTGAGACTGAGATGCCGTTCAGCTACTACAGTCTGCCATACTGCCGTCCACCTGGCGGCATCAAGAAGAGCGCCGAGAACCTGGGTGAGCTTCTCATGGGTGACCAGATCGACAACTCACCCTACCGGTTCCGTGTGAATGTCAACGAGTCCCTCTTCCTCTGCACCACGAAAGGGCTTAATGAGAATGATGCAAAGCTTCTCAAGCAGCGGGCCCGTGATCTTTATCAGGTGAACATGATGCTGGACAATCTGCCTGTCATGCGTTTTGCTGAGCAGAATGGTATCACAGTACAGTGGACTGGTTTTCCTGTTGGTTACACTCCCGCTGGTAGTGCTGATGATTATATCATCAACCATTTAAAGTTTAAGGTCTTGGTCCATGAGTACGAAGGAACAAATGTAGAAATAATCGGTACTGGAGAAGAAGGATCTGCTGTCATATCAGAGACGGACAAGAAGGGGATGTCTGGGTATCAGATTGTTGGTTTTGAGGTCGTGCCTTGCAGTGTGAAGCGTGACCCCGAGGATTTCTCTAAGCTTAACATGCATGACACCATTGAACCTGTGAGCTGCCCGGTGGAGCTTCGAATGTCCCAAGTGATCAGGCAACAGGAGAGGATCACGTTTACCTATGATGTTGAGTTTGTGAAGAGTGACATCAGGTGGCCATCTAGGTGGGATGCTTATCTGAAGATGGAGGCTGGTGCCAAGGTCCACTGGTTCTCTATAATGAACTCCCTCATGGTCATCTTGTTCTTGGCAGGAATCGTCTTTATTATATTCCTGAGAACTGTCAGGAGGGATCTCACCACATATGAAGAGCTCGACAAGGAAGCGCAAGCACAGATGAATGAGGAGCTATCTGGGTGGAAGCTTGTTGTTGGAGATGTGTTCAGAGAGCCAACTTGCCCCAAGCTATTATGCATCATGATTGGTGATGGAGTTCAAATTCTGGGCATGTCAATTGTAACAATTGTTTTTTCCACACTTGGGTTCATGTCTCCAGCTTCAAGAGGAATGCTTCTTACTGGAATGATTATTCTCTATCTTTTCCTTGGTATTGTAGCTGGGTATGTCAGTGTTCGGCTATGGAGGACTATTAAGGGAACGTCTGAAGGATGGAGATCACTGTCATGGTTGACTGCCTGCTTTTTCCCTGGTGTCATGTTTACGGTCCTTACCATCTTAAACTTTGTGCTGTGGGGAAGCAAAAGCACTGGAGCTTTACCTATATCATTATTTTTCACCCTTCTGGCTCTGTGGTTCTGTATCTCTGTGCCGTTAACGCTTGTTGGTGGCTTCCTTGGTACAAGAGCAGAGCAAATTGAATTCCCTGTTCGCACCAACCAGATTCCTAGAGAGATCCCTGCACGGAAATATCCATCATGGCTTCTGGTCCTTGGAGCAGGCACACTGCCATTTGGAACCCTGTTTATTGAGCTGTTCTTCATTCTGTCGAGCATCTGGCTTGGAAGGTTCTACTATGTGTTTGGCTTCCTGCTGATTGTCCTGCTGATGCTTGTCGTTGTTTGCGCTGAGGTATCTGTCGTCCTCACATACATGAATCTCTGTGTTGAGGACTGGAGGTGGTGGTGGAAGGCCTTCTTTGCATCGGGCTCTGTTGCTCTCTACGTGTTCCTCTACTCCATCAACTACTTGGTCTTTGATCTCAGAAGCCTGAGCGGTCCTGTCTCTGCAATGCTCTACATCGGCTACTCATTCCTCATGGCGTTCGCGATCATGCTCGCCACTGGAACCATTGGCTTCTTGACGTCAATATCCTTTGTGCACTACCTCTTCGCGTCCGTGAAGATCGATTGATGGATGGTTGCCATATCAATGGCCTTCTGTATCTGTATTGCTAAAAGTACGTGCGTGAGTTTCGCCCATGAGAAGCGCAGTTTAATGAGGTGATTTTGATCAACTGCAGATGTTTTTAGTAGATGTTGATGCAGTTTTTCCCTAGTAAATGTAGTTCCGCTGTTCAACTGCAGATGTTTCCTTAGTAGATTTTCGTCAGCTGCTACACTTATTCAGATAGATACTGCAAGTCTGCAACCCATATCTACAAAGTGTTAAGGGGTAATGACTATGATATTCTAATCTGCGAGTGGCAATGCATGGTAGCCACCTATTTTGTAAAAGATCTTAATGTGTGAACATTATTTGCTACGTGTTTCTTGGCCTAATTTCAAAACTATCGGGAAAACGCTTTCTGTTTCTTTTACAGTGTTGTTTTTCCTTCCAACCAAAAGCCATATGTCTTTTGCCATATTCCTTGGGAAAATTCTTTCTGTTTCTTCTACGGAATGTCACTTTGTTCTTCTACAAGAATATGATTCGAACAGCCATATCGGTACACTTCAGCGGTCCAGGAAGCCATTTCTTGGCATGCTGGTGGATCTGTGGCATAGTGACATGCAAAAGTACAGGGTTTTTGTAGGCAGTTGAATACGAATTGCAAATGTAATGTAAATAAACACAGCTCTGCAGAAGCTGTTCTTTTATTACAAGCGCTGCTCTGGTGACCATCTGGTGGTCTGAACAACAGAAGACGTAGGTGGAAACAGATAGTAGTAGTAGTACATCGATCTTAGTTCCGGCGAGACCACAGAGCTGCCCGGGCCGCTCACGCCGGCGAGCGATTCACGTTCTTGGCCCAGATTATGTGCCCGTACGGCATGAGGTGGCAGACCGGCGTGCCGCCAGGCTTGGTGCCCAGGAGCTTGAAGGAGACGTGCTCCGGGTTCCACAGGGACGTGTCGGTGTGGCACACGGTGGCGATGGTCACCGCGTCGCCGCCGCGCGCGCCCTCCATGTCCACCATGTACGCCCTGGACGGGCCAGTGGTGTGGCACCGGTACACGGTGTACGGGTAGGCCTCGTCGTGGCACGCCACGAAGACAGGCCCCCCCTCCACCGGCCGCACGGAGCGGACGGTGTACGTCTGCAGCGGGGCGCCGGCGCGGGGCAGCGTCGACGTCACCGGCCTGATGTCGCGGGTCCCCAGCACTTCCATGGCGCGCTCCACCAGGGCCTCCAGCGAGGTCGCGCAGAACTTGGACTCCCCGGCGATGGTCGGCGACTCGCAGGCGCGCAGCGTCGCCTCCATGCTGGCCACCGTGGCGGAGTCGGACGCGACGCCGAACGTCGCGAGGACGCCAGGCAGCGCGGCCGTCGTGAACGGGACGGAGTCGGCGACCTGGCGCGGCAGGAAACCGAGCGCGGCGGGAGTCGCCGGCGGGAAGCGGAATGGGAGCCTCTTGCCGACGCGCACCGCCTCCTCGTGAAAGAACACCGTCGTCGTCTCCGCCTTGCCGCCCCTAGCCATGGACGCCCCGTTTCCAGCGAGGCTGCTGCTCGGCGCCTTGTATTCATCGGTGGCGCCACGGAGCTTGTCGGCCCCGCTGTAGTCGTCGTAGTCGAAGTCCCGCGCCCCGGAGGCGGCGCCACGGAGCTTGTCGCCCCCGCTGTAGTCGTCGTAGTCGAAGTCCCGCGCCCCGGAGGCGGCGCCGGTGCTCTTGCTCGGTTCATCATCGGGCGGCGAGCGGCTGTAATCACGGTAGTCGAAGGGGGGCCTGTCCTCGGCATCCCTCACGAAGCTGGTGGCTTCTGTGAGCAGTTCAACACCTGTGCGTGCATGCATTTTTTGTGTTTGGCGGTCAATCAAACTCGAGAGAAGAAGACAGTTAACGGAGGGCGACGAGGAAAGGAACATGAAAGACAGACCTGCTGCGGGTTGTTTGAGAAGGCGGAGAACGGCGTCGGGCAATGGCGAGTGTGGCAGCACGGCGCGCCAGAACACCTCCGCCGTCGCCGGCGCCGCGTGGCCCAGCTGCCCTCCAGCCTGAACCTGTGACGAAACAGGCCGTTAGCACCAGTTTGTGATCGATCAATCTCATGCGAAATGCACTAGGTGCAGTTTGCCGAAATGAAGAAGATGCAGGCGTTGCTCAGTGGCTTCTTCGGCCATTACCGCGACCAGGGTGGTGGCGAGGAGGGCGACGAGGAAGCGCGCCATGGATGTGCGCTAGGTGAGAGGTCCAGAGGTTGTAGTACTTGGGAGTGATGATGCGATCAGACGAGGTACTTATAGGCGTCGTCGGCTCGACGGGAAGGTGTTTCATTGACGGCGACGCCAAACAGAAAAGCTCTCGACGTGAGCTGTGCGATCGCATGGTACGTGCGGCACCGGAGAATATAATCCTGGGCGTGACATCCGACGATCCGCGCGCGAATGGCGTGTTGTGTGGCGCGGCAGCGTCAGGTTCGCGTTCGTGTGCGGTGCGGTGCTCGCCGTCCACGCAGCTGCAGTTAACTTTGCGGGGCTTCGGGAGGTCCGGGAAAATAATCCCATACGACCTGGTCTCAGGCTTCATCTCGTAAGACCTACTCTAGAGGATGCCACGTGTTCTTCACCAATCTTGATGCATCCTTCTTCCTCAATCCTCCTTCCCGAACTTCACGCCACCAGCGTCCAGCCCCATGAATCCTAACAGTCTCCTACGTGGCCTCGCGCCCCTCGCCGGCAGGCCCAGCACCGTAGAAAAGCTAGCCATCTAGTGCACCGACGGGCATGCCGGATTGCTTGGGCTTCATCAATTAAACATCAAATCTCGAAACAGCGGAGACAAAATACAGATCAGGCATATAAATCTTGGGGAAAAAGGGATGCATCAAGATTGGTGAAGTACACATGGCAAATCTTACGAGATGAAGCGTGAGACCAGGTTGTATAGGATTATTTTCCGGAGGTATGTGGCGAGGAATTTGGTGTTGCGGGGTCGTAGACGATGTCCCCGTTGGTCTGAACGCAGTCCTGATTGAAGTATTGGAACAACTTAAAGTGAGCGGCAGTCCCGAGAAAGCACTCGCAAAATGTGATGAAGTTTGCAATGTAAAGAACCCCGTTTGACGGGATGTGGTGTAGCTAGCAGCCGTAGAAGCGCAAGATCCCGCAAACGAAGTCGTGTAGGGGAAACCCGAGCCCCTCCCGAAATATATACTCCAGGCAGAGGATGTGCTCACCGTCGCGAGGAGTTGGCGGAGCCTCGTCCCCCGGGAGGCGGCACTCCAAATCCGCTGGCATCAGCCCTATCTCCACGAGACCCTGAAGTTTTTTGTCGGTGGCCGAGGAAGGGAACCACTTTCCTGTAGTCTTGGGGGCTTCCGGCTGTTGTTTCATACCACCCTTGGAGGCGACCCTCTTCCGCTTCAGCCCCGTTCCAGCGGCGGGCAGATCCTAGCTGGGAACCTTAGGAACCTTCTCGCTCTTGGTTCGGGCCATCTTGGTGGCAAGGAAGGGGTGGACGGGGGCTACGTGAGCAAGCGCTGAAGACTTTGAGGTGGCGACACGCTTTTGGGAGCTGAGGGCTGGGAGACGAAAATGGATGAAGACAGAGGGAGAAAAAACCCTTCGTTTCCCCCTCCCTATAACCAGCTTGAAACCGAAGCGTCTGGCCTCACGACGCGACAGGTGCCATATATCCTTTGCAATTCCCCGTTTTGCGAGGTAAGGCGCGCGGATTCAGAAACCATCATCATCACATCCCTTAATTAGCGGGATTTGTGCAAACGACACTTCAAGATACTCTAGATGGGCCCAGTGGACCAGGTCGGTGGCTGTTAGGACTCCTGGAGGCCAGTCAGAATTGTCCTGATACAGGGTTGCAGGCCTCGGAGGCCCCAGAGACGAGTTCCCTAAGAAAGAATCACAAGGACAGAGCGCCATCGACAGTGGATCCCGCCGGAGGTCTCGAAGACCACTCCCGCGACCTTCGCCATGCTCAGGTGCTACTCACAGTGTAATACATTGGGGGTGGCTCACCGAGGGGAGCCCGACAGAAGGCCTTCTCGAGGGCCCACGAGGCCCAGCGGCGAGGGGGGGGGGGCTTAAAGAAGAAGATAGACGTCGTGCTGCCAACTTGATCTCCAAGTTGGTGCGGCAGCAAACCTAGTTTGGTTTCCTCCCTCAGTAAAACCCTAGCAAACCCTAGCCTCCTCGAGTATATAAGGAGAGGCTAGGAAACTCTCATTCCCGTAGATACAACTCTCAATAGACATCTCATACACACCATTGTATACCCCTCCTACGAGGTATTCCTCCACCATGAATAACAAACACGAGCATGATATAGGGTATTACTCTTCGGAGGCCCGAACCTGGGTAAAACCTCCGTGCGACCTCTGCTTCGAAACTTCTAGCCATGTCAGGACTCCTACCGAGGGATCTGACAGTTTTCTACACCGTCAGCTATCCGCAAATTAATTACTAAACATGGATCATGCAATCTCAAATCCAAAATATTCAATCCAGCATAAAGAAACTTCAAAGAGCAAGACTTAATTCACCACAAATAATGGAGGGGGAAGCATCATATTGTTGGAAATATGCCCTAGAGGCAATAATAAAGTTGTTGTTATTATATTTTGTTAATCATGATAAAGGTTTATTATTCATGCTAGAATTGTATTGATTGGAAACTTAAATACATGTGTGAATACATAAGCAAATACCAAGTCCCTAGTATGCCTCTACTAGACTAGCTCGTCGATCAAAAGATGGTTAAGGTTTCCTAACCATAGACATGTGTTGTCGTTTGATAACGGGATCACATCATTAGGAGAATGATGTGATGGACAAGACCCATTCGTTAGCTTAGCATATGATTGTTCAGTTTATTCCTACTGCTTTCTTAATGCCAAATACACATTCCTTCGACCATGAGATCATGCAACTCTCGGATACCGGAGGAATACCTTGTGTGCTATCAAACATCACAACATAAATGGGTGATCATAAAGATGCTCTACATGTATCT